CCGGGCCCGCCCCGCCCTCCGCCATGGCGGCCGAGAGCGGCAGGCAGTTCTGGAAGCGGAGCGCCAAGCTGCCGGGCAGGTGAGCCCCGGGGAAGGGGTGCGAGGGCCGCGCCCCCCGCGCTCCGGCTGGGCGCTGGAGCTGTATCGCTGCCTGGGGAAAGGGCTGTCACCCACCCGGGCTCTGGGGCTGAGGGTACCCCTGCGAGGCTCGGGGGATACYGGGCGGATCGGTCCGGGTGGCGGGACTGAGGAGCTGCTTGGGGCCCCGGGGTTCCTCCCTGAAATACGGGCGATGCCAGGGCCACCCCAGGCTGTGGGACGGGGATTTTGCTGGTGGAAGGCTCAGTCTATAAAGGACATGGGTAGGGTTAAAGCTGCTGCCTCGTGTGTAGGACAAGGCAGCTGTGGGGACCCCTGTGTGCCCCCCATGGGGAGCAGAGTGCAGGGATCAGGGTGCTTTGGAGGCCCTTTTGGGGTCAGAGTCAGGGCTGTGCCATCTTCCTTTCCACAGAGAYTGAAGAAAAGTCAGCCTCGCCCAAAGTCCTTAGAGGTGTTGCCTTGGGTGGCAGTAGCTGTGTCCCAAAGGGGTGCCCGATAACGCGTGGAACCGCCCCATTATTCTCTCCTGTGTGGGGTCTCTCCTGGTCCATCTCTGCTCAAGGGCTCTGTTTGCATCCCCCTCGTTCAGTTCCTCTGGCTGTGATGTCCTGCTCCTCTCAAGGCACCTTTAGCCACTCAGGGATGGGAGAAACAAGTGAAATGTGTGATTGATGTGGTATTTAGGAAGAAGAGGCTGGTAATGATGGAGGAGATGCTCCCTACAACACCTTGGGAGCRAGGCTGATGTGGAAAGAGGGCATCTAATTCTCTGGAGAGGCTCTCTCAAGCACTTTTCCTGCCTTGTGCTCTTCACTTTTGCTCTCATTTGCCTTATCTGAACCCTGCCCTTCGCCTCCTGGGGTACGGGTGCAGTCTGAAAYGCTTAGTTGGCTTTAAATCCTGCTGGGCCAGTTAAATATCTCTTCCTAATGTGTTTTCACTCATCTCCTTGTTACTGTGCAACTCCTTCAGGTTGGCTGGGCAGCCCAGCACTGTGGCAAGCAAAGGGCGAGCAAGGAGCTCTCTGTTCCTCCTCTGCTGCTCCTGTGGGAGGAAAATCCCGTGTTTTCCCTGGGTTATTTCCCTGCTGCTCCTGTCTTTTACCCAGAGGCCTCAGCCATGCTCTCAGCTGGTGGTCTTGGACACCACCTCTCTTCTGCATTTGGTGACTTTTGAGCTTTGCCTTGGAAAGCTCAAACCAGGTGAACCGGTCTGGCCAGCAGCCGGTCCTGCCTATGATACTCGGCGTTGTGAAGTTTTTGGCAGTGTTCTCTCCTTCTCCTAACTGCCTGCTTGGCAGATATCCTGGATCCAGGAGCCTTGTCACCTCCTGCGTGCTGCTGGTTTCCAGGGACAGTCACCAACAGGTCTTCAGCAGTCTGAGTCAGAAGGTGAAGGTGGGGTGTGCTGCATCGGTCACCAGACATGAAGCTCCCCTTGGTTTGTTTTTTTTTTTTTTTTTTTTGAGTTTCGGGAGACCCTCCTTTACAGATTCTTGGCTCTCTCCTTTCTATCCCTTGACAATCTGGCAAGAAGGAGGCTTTGTAGGGACTTGGATACTGTGTTAGCTTCCTTCTCCATGACACTTCATGCATTTGGTCACTTTGTTGTATTTAGCTTTTATTTTCTAATAAAGTTTATTAGCTTTTGGTCCCTGTAGATTTAGGTTGGATTTTAGGGGTAGGTTTAGAACTGGTAAATGCTGTTTTGTTTTTCCAGTGCTGTCTTGTGGCTTTTGCCCTGGGAATTCTCTGCYTGGTAATTTTCTAGGGATGTGTTGGCAGAGTGGTCTGGTGTGTTGTCCTCTGTGATATGTTGTTTATTCCCTGCTCTCTAGCAAGATGGACAGTCAGGGTCTGCTGGGGTTATTTAAATGCTGTTTTAAAAGGGGAGGAACAGCCTGGTAGAAATAAATATGAAATAGAAATAAATATGTTCTGTGTGCAGAGGGGCACTGACGTTTCATGGCCATGCTCTGTTGCCGTGTCAATAACCCACACCCTGTGATGATCCTGTGAGAGGTGTCACACGGGGTGCACAGCCACTGCACCACACACCTTTGGTCACCCCTTGTGCCCTGCACTGAGCATCTGGGTAACAGGAAATGCCTGTCCCAAAGAGCTTAAACTGCGACAGAGAGGGGGCTTGTCCAGTCCAGCTGGGAGCACAGATCAGCTTGAGATTCTGTGTTTGGAAGTGTCTGGGTTCTAAGACTTCAAAAAGAGCCATTTGCAGGTGGGACCCTCTGCCATTGCTTCAAACACTGATTCAGAACCCCAGGAAAGGATTTCCTCCCCCAGCACTGGCTGTCACATCTCCTCCTCTCTCTAACACACACCTTTCTCAGGTAAATCAAAGCAGTTCCCCACTGGCAGCCTGTGGGTCCTGGCAGAGAGGAGCAGAATTGTGCTGGCTGTCATGGGACAGTGTGAGATTGGTACTGGGTATGGGAGATGCTCTGCTGGCTCTGGTCCTGCAAGGAGCTGCCACAAGTCATTGGGAAGCAATGCTGATCTGGAGGGCTTGTTCTTCTTACTCCTCGTCATCTTTTTGCTATGTCAACCCGTGGAGGTGCCTCTGCCTAATTGCTGTCCTCACTTGCAGGTGCTCATTAGTCATCACACTCTAGCCTAAGCTTAATCCTCGAAGGATAAACACAGTGAGCCTTTTCAGCACTTCCAGACACAAGGGACAGCCACTGCAGTGGTGATCCCACCCCTCCTGGGCTGCTCCACCAGGATCTCTGTGCTGTGGTTGTTTCCAGCCTCTGTCCTGGCTCTCTGCATCTCTTCCCTGCCAGCTGGACCTGTTGCTTCTGCATCCTCAGCTTGTTCCCAGCGTGCTTTCCAGCTGCACCAGGCTGCCATCCCTCTCCTCCATGGCTGGGCTCTGCTGGTTTTACTGCCAGGCACCATCTGCAGCTCCTAGAAACCAGGCCAGCTCTATTGACCCAAGGGAAGCTTGTTCCTTGTGTGCCAGCTCTGAATGGGCCTTTGTCTCTGCCATGGCATTGCAGGACTTGTTTTCCAGAGGTTATTTTCCAGGGTGGGGTGGCTTTGAATAATTCCTCAAATGCAGGTGATAACTCAGGATCCCTGTCTCACCTCCATGGTCAGTAAAACCATCAATGAACATGTTTTTAGTAGCTCCTCTCTGAGGTGATGSTCCCCATGTAGTGCCTGCAGCCCTCAAGCTCCTTGTCCCACTAGTCCCAAGGAACCAAGGCCCTGAGATGTGGTGACTCCTTTCAGGCCACATAGGAAGTCTTTGATTAAATCGGGATTTGGACTTGAGTCAAACCACGTACTGCACCAGACATTCCTTCTTCGTGGCACTGGCTGTGATCCTGAGAGCCAGCATGGGGTTCAAACCCTAAAGTACATTTATGGAGCAGCCCCAGTGCCTCGGGCTAGAGTCCTTCCCTGTCCYACAGGGCCTGCAAGGGTGAGTTCCCAAAACTGGAAGTCCCCTTGCTGGAAAAGAGAATGAACATCAGTGTGTGCAGCAGGTAGACTGAGACACGTGGTCACTTGGAGTGAGTTGGTGGTGCAGAAAAGAGCAGATCTCAAATCCCAGCTCAGGCTGGACCAGGCCTAAGAGTTTAAAGCAGGCTTCTCTTTGCTGCTGCAAAGAACAAATCTTCATCTGAATATGACACTTTGGATCTAAGGCTTTTAAGTGAGAGTGGTCTTGAAGCTGCTTTTGGTATTTTATTCAGCTCCTGATAGCAAGCAAGCAGTGTGACCCCAGTTTAGACTGATATTATTTGTGGGACCTCTTTTTACAGCATCTTGGGTTTTTTTCTTTTCCCCTCCCTGCAGCATTCAGCCTGTCTACGGAGCACAGCATCCTCCCCTGGATTCCCGGCTCACCAAAAAGTAAGTGTTTGTGTCCTGGAGATGCAGCCCACAAGGSCTGGCAGGTTTGGGGCTCAGTTCTGCAGGAGGTGGAGGTCTCCAGCATCCCTGGCACTGTGATATTGCAACAAAGAAGGACAGCAGTGGGGTGTGGTGCTGCTTTGAGCTCTATCAAAGCTTGCAGGGAGAGCTTATCTGCTGATGCCTTTATGGACAGAAATCCATACAGTAACAGCCACATCAAAGCAAACAGACCTTTTTTTTTTTTTTTTTTTTTTTTTTTTTTTTTTATTTTTTTTTTTGGTTTTTAAATTTATATTTATTTTGGTTTTTTTTTTTTTTTTTTTTTTTTTTTTTTTTTTTTAGCAGTGGTGTCTGATCCTTCTGCTCCTCTTTGGAGTGGGAGGAATTAAGAGAAAGGGAGGTAAAGCTGCCCAGCAGTTACAAGGCTGGAGAACTGCAGCAGCCTGGCAGGAAAAGGCAGAATTCCTGATCTGAACTGCCTCCTTGTCCCCTTCCCATGCTGTGTAGCGGTGAAAGTTCCCTGCTTCAGGTGGTGGACTTTGACTCCTGGRGCTTAAGAGTAAATTCCTTCTGTGCCTGAGGAAAGAGCCAGGCTGGCCTGGTTGCTGGGAACAACTGCAGCTGTTTTGGGAGTGTTCACAGAAGGAGACCTGCTCTGTCACCCCTGACATGCGTCTCTCCAGGTTTCAAGACTTTTTTTTGGGTGCTAATCTGCCTGTTTTAAGTAGGGTGTGGGAAGGAAGAGCTGGAGGAATTGAAGGAGTCTCCCCTTTGCCCTTCTGAGCCAGGAATCTGGCACCTCTCCAGCTGTGTGGCCTCTGTGACTACTGTCATAGCAGCCTGTGACAGCCACTCCTGGCAGTGGGCAGCCCAGAGAGAYATAACATATTCCTTAGGTCTGGGAGGAGGAACAGGGAAACTGGCAAAAGAGATTGGCTGATTGGAGTGAGGGCGTGGGGAAAGGAAAGAAAATGAACTCACCCAACAGCGTGGCTCTGATCCTGTTCCTCTCTGGCTCACAGCTTCATCAAGGACCGCTCCAAGGCCACYGGGCTGCCCATGAAAAGCAAGAAGGCCTCCAGCTTCCACGAGTTTGCCCGCAGCACCAGCGATGCCTGGGACATCGGCGATGATGAAGACGAGGACTTCTCCTCCTCCTCCTCATCCTCTTTGCAAACTCTGAACTCTAAAGTGGCCAAGGCCACGGCAGCGCAGGTTTTGGAGAACCACAGCAAGCTGCGGGTGAAGCCTGAGCGGTGCCAGCCTGCCCTCAGTGACCTGCCCACCAACTGCAAGGTCATCAAGTCCAGCAGCGAGGCCCAGCTCTCCAGGACCTCAGGTAAGAGCCATCTTCAGGAGAGCCATCTTCAGGAGAAGCCTCCTGCTTCACCTGGCCACTGAATTCAACTGCTTGTTGCTACTCGTAGGGTATGGGCAAGAGGCTGTGGCACAGSCTGTAAGCACAGCAGAGGTATTTTCTTCCTTTCAGTATCCTGTACTCCAAGGAGCCATTTTTGGAGGCCTGGCTTTAATGCTTCAGTGTCCTCTGATGCTCAGTATTCTGCATATAGGCATGTCAGTCCCAGAGTATCCCATGTGCTGGGTACTGAGTCAGTTTTGAGATCTTTTAAGTTCTTGCTGGGACTTGCTCACTGTCTGCTTCCTCTGTGGCTTCCTCTGGTGTGCTGCTCTTGGCAAAGGTCTGGTGAGGTCCTGTTGACACCACACCACAGCAGCTGCCTCTGCTCGTTCTGCCTTGTCTGCCTGTGCAGTGAGAGTGCCCCAGGAGGTGGCACTGGCAGCCCTTCAGCTCCTCTCTCTGCACTTGCAATTAGCTTGATTGGTGTTTGGAACACTGGAGAGCARAGCACATCTGAAGGTCAGTTCTGCCTTGTCTCCTGTGTCCTGCCCTGACTTTGCACGTGCAGAGGGCAGTCTGCTCCACTTGCAGCCAGGTGTGTGGGTGCAGGAGGCAGAAAGGGTGGCAGAAATGGGGGAAAGTGTTGGAAGAGCCATGATAGATGCCTGTGAAGCAGCTGATCCATCGGGGTGGGCCAATGCTGCTGTTCAGTGGTGCTGAGGAACAGCAGTGTCTGACTGTGGCTGGAGGAGCCAGGTGGGGTTGGAGAGGTGGAACCTCCTTCCCCACCTCAGTGCAGCTCTGGTCCTTGCAGAGGAGGCCTGTGTGCGGAGCCCCCTGCAGAAGCAGCAGTCCCTTCCCCTCCGGCCTGTCATTCCTCTCGTGGCTCGAATCTCTGACCAAAACGCCTCCGGGGCTCCCCCTATGACCGTCAGGGAGAAGACGCGCCTGGAGAAGTTCCGGCAGCTCCTCTCCAGCCACAACACCGACCTGGGTGAGTGGGGCAAAATGAGGGGGCCTGGGAGGGCAGGGCAGGGTCGAGGGGGYGTGCTGCCTGCATCAGATGTGCTTCAGGGGGAAAAAATGACTGTCTGCAGTTGTACCAGGTGGGATGTTCCAGGAATCGCTCTGTTGGCAGATGGTGATGCCCTCCAAGCGCTCACTCCCTGTCTGCCCTAATCATTCTCCATCTTGCACAGGATGGTTGGGATCACTGGGGGCTGTTGGGCTCTGCACGTGGACTGAGGTTCTGGCACCTGCATCTCCCAGTTCGGTGCCCAAGCTGGGCTGATACAATCTCTCCTTGCAGCAGACCCCAGTCGTTGCTAGTGTGGGAGCCTTCCTGGAGGCTCAGTGTGTCCAGAGCCTGCAGGAGCAGACTGGGCTTTCCTCTCCTTCTAGGTGTAGTGGTGCCTGGACGTGCCTAGGATCTAATCCATTGCCACCACTGTCCGTTTGCAGATGAGCTGAGAAAGTGCAGCTGGCCTGGYGTGCCCAGGGAGGTCCGGCCCGTGACGTGGCGCCTGCTCTCAGTAAGTACTGAACTGTGACATCAGGGGCTGGGGGATTGTGCCACCTCAGGGATCAGGGACATGAGCTCCTACACCTCCATGTGTCCCACAGCCAGTTTTGCTTGTGAGCTGCCAGTGCCCAGTTACAGAGAGCTGGTTTTGGTCATGGAGTGTTAYTGCTGTGTCCTCTTGGAGCTCAAAGCCCAGCATGGTGTGAGGAATGGGTGCTTCACTCTTTTTTAGGAAGATTAATCCAATGAAGCTGAGTTACTCCAAGATCAGGGGCTGGGAAAGCCWAATTCCATGAAAGCTCTTTGCCCAGCTCCTGAGTTGTGTGCCTGATGTTTCTGGGTGCATGGCTGGCAGGATATCAGGGGATGCTGAGGAAAGAGTGTTTGCCCTGAGCTGAGTTTCCCCAAACCAGGGCTATCTCCCCGCCAACTCGGAGCGCCGGAAGCTGACCCTGCAGCGCAAGAGGGAGGAGTACTTTGGCTTCATCCAGCAGTACTACGACTCCCGGAATGAGGAGCACCACCAGGACACCTACAGACAGGTAGGAACCCTCTGCCTGCCCTTCTGCTTTGGGTWTAGCCCGTTCCTCTCTCTTGCTGCTGCTTGTCCCTGTAGGGAGGCTCATGCCAGGACTTGCTCTAGCTGGAGCTGGGAGTCTTCTCTCCTATGGAAAAGGCACCATGAGAGTTTAAGGCACGTGGTTAATTTAAGCTTTTCCTAAATTGATCTAATAATTTCAGATAATAAATTTGATCTAATAAATTCAGATATAATTTCTAATAATAAATTTCAGAGCCCAGCTCCTTCCCAGCTCTGCCTGYCTGCAGCTGAGCAGAGCAGACTGAGGTAAAACTGTCCATGATTTGCTCAGTACAGCTGTCATCTGTAGCTCTCACAGTGCTTGTCAGCTCTTAACTGGGGGAACACTGATGGTGGATCCTCTCTGGTAGCCTGTGATGAGTTACTGTGCCCCTGGAAAGCACAGCTGATGTGTGTAACCCCTTTTCTTTTCCAGATCCACATTGACATTCCAAGGACCAACCCACTCATTCCCCTCTTCCAGCAGCCCCTCGTCCAGGAGGTAAGAGGGGGTGAAGCTCCTGCCCCACATTTGCCATGGGATGTGTGTGTGGAGTGAGGCCAGCACTGCTCCTAGGGAGTTAACTTTAKGGGGAGACTTCCCTGCCTGACAGCTCCTGATGCAAATTCCTGCTGGAACTGTCTGGTCTTGTCCCATGTTTCTGAGAGACATGGAACTTGGAGCTCAGAGGTTATGAATTGATCTCTTCTTCAGCAAGATGTAGYAAAGAGCTGGTAAAAGACCTGGAGCTTTTGTTCTGAGACAAACTGGAGGCATTCGAACCAGAACACAGGATAGTTCTGTTCTGCTTCAAAACCTCTTTTATATGAGCAACCCAGGCAGGGATGGGTTTGAGGGGTGGCCAGGAGGTGTGGACACCTGTCCTCTCTGGAACCAAGCTCAGTGTGTGTTTGTGGTGTGTCAGAGCCTGSTGTCCAGGGGGTCGGGGCAGTCTGGGAATGTTAGTTGTGAGGGAGGGAGGCTGCTCTGTGATGTTTTTGTGGAAGTACTGTGCTGATAATTCATCTTCCCACCTGATGTTCAGCCAAGGAGGCTGCCCTGCCCTGTCCTGTGGATATTAAGCTATCTCGGTCTTGAAAAGTTGGCTCTGCATTTCTTCAGGCAGAGGTTTTGATGAGGATCCTGGACTATCTTGTCTGAGGTGGGAGATCTGCAGATCACACAGGAGTCTCTCCTAGGACTTTTATGCTTCTAACATGACCTTACTGCTACAGAAAAGCCTTTCAGTGCATGGTSTGCACTCCCTGAGCTTAGCAGTTATGCTTTCCTGCCTTCCCTYTGTGCATGGCTAATGCAGGTTCCTGCTTTCCCTCGTTCTTCCCTAGATTTTTGAGAGAATCCTGTTTATCTGGGCCATTCGCCACCCAGCCAGCGGCTATGTGCAGGGCATCAATGACCTGGTCACCCCCTTCTTTGTTGTGTTCCTCTCTGAGCACGTTGGTAAGTGACACTTGCTGCTCCAAGCACCCCTGGCCACGGGGTTTGAAGTGGTGTGAAATGCTGGCATGAGGAAAAGGGGCTTTGCTGGAGGAGGGGATGGTGTGCTCTTCCTTCAGAGTGCCTGGGCCAGTCTGGAGTTGTATTCTGACCTCYTGCTGTATCTCTGCTCCCTGGATGAGGTGACTTCAGTGTCATCATCTTGCTGAGCCCCACAGAAGTGCTGAGGGTGGGTTTGCATTTCAGTGTACTGAACAACCTCACAGCTTAGAGGGGAACGGGATCTTTCAGGCAAAGTCCTGATACACAGAGCTGGAGGAGGGTCTGGCTTTCAAAGCTTGGACTTGGGARACAGTTCTCACTCCAGGAGGAATGAGTGAAGTATAGAGACCCTGCTGAGAGTGTAAAATAAACTATTTTAACAAAGATTCCCTCCCTTGCTGCTAGTACAGGTGTGTTGTTCAAACTGARTGTTTCAGAAAGCAAACTGACTTCTCCCTGCTTCGTCTGGATTTCTTGTCATCTGCTTGCTTTTAGCTGGCAATCAAGTCCTTTCCACCCATAGGATTTTTGTTCTTTCTCTGGCTCTAGCTGTTTGGAGTTGACATGAATRCTGGGATGTCATAATCCCTGTATTTAAAGCCTCTTAGATTTCACTGTAAATAGAAGGAAAAAGGAATAAGACTGGAGCCTCTTTTGGAGCCTCTTCTCTACAGTTGCCTTTGCCAGCAGGCCCTGAGGAGCTGGGCAGGGCAGGGCTGAGGGCTCTCCATGCTGAATCACTGATTCTCAGGGTCCCCAGAGCCTGGATCAGCTGAGTCTGTGCTGCACCCAGGTCCCTGCAGCAGGAGAGACCTTGCACAGTTGGGTGCTCCTCGTGCAGCACACCCCAAGGGACAGCTCACCTTGCTGTGGGAGCTCTCTTGTTCAGAGGAAATTCTCCTTGTGTTTTGCAAACCTTGGGAAAGGGAACAGCCTGGATGGCTCAGGCAGCCACTGCGGGCTCACACACCCATGTGCCGTCTGTGGGTATTCCCATGCTCACAGGTGAGGGTAYAACTGGCCTGGAAGATTTTTCCTCMTATTTTCTGGAAAGTTYGCTTTGCAAAGTTGGCGCCAGCATTGGCTCCATCCTCATCTGTTGGGTTTGCTGCCCCTACTCTCCCTTCAGAGCAGGTGTTTTGTTGCCCACGAGATCCTCAAAGGAACCCACTGTGCTGCCAGCTGGCTCCTCAGTTTGGCTGCCCTGGGGTATTTGCAGCAGAGCTTTTGCAGGGCTGATCCCAGCAGGGACCACTGCAGCTCTGTGTGACAGAGGTGGGACTCACAAGTCGCTGATGTTGCTCAGTTGTTAAACACAAGGCCATGATGACACCCATGGATGTTCAATCCAGGGGCTTCTCCTGAAGCAATCTGAHAGGCTGGGCCCCACTGCCAAATTCRTTAYAGGCTTCTGATCCAAWTCATCTTTTCTACAGATRAGTTAAAATCTCTCCTTGGAGCTCACCAGCTGGTGAATGTGTCTGGTTGATGATGTCTCCATTATCTGTRCTACCAGCCCAAGGCCTGGAACATCCTTCAGTGGCCTTGTCTGGCATCCCCTCCAAGGGAAAGGGGGAAATGGGAATGGGGAAAAGGTGGGTGGTTTGGGCAGGGAATGGTTTGTACCTTGTCAGTCACTTCCAGGGAACAATGTGGCAGTTTTCTTTGTTGGAAGTTGACACAAACAATGAAACAACAGCAGTTACCCAGCAAACTCCAGGCCATGTGTGCAGAGGATTAAATCCAGCTGGCTCGGGGCAGTAGTGAGAGCAGCTTGGCCCCACTGCTGTGCCTTTGACTTGGTKCCTTTCCATCATCACCGTGGAAGGTGGGAGGAAGGATGTGTGTCTCTCCAGGTCCTGAAGGGGGAACTGAGGGAAAACATTCACAGGCAGCTGTTTCTCCTAACCTGCACCTCCCAGCCTGCCTGAAGGCATCCCAGTGATGCTGCTTCTCTCTTCCTTCTGAACAAAGTGAATTCAGTGCGTGTGTGCCCCTTTGACGAGCTTCAGCACCAGCCAGGCTGAGGCAGGGAGAAGCAGCTCATCCTCAGAGTTCTCCCCTCCCTGTCTGAACTCCCCTGACCCCTTCTGCCAGCTGGGACAAGTTGCATTTCCCATTCTTGCACCCCCCAGTCTGGATCCAAAACTCCAGCATCTTCCAGGCACTGGGCAGACTGCAGTGCACCCTTGGCACTGGGATAGGTTTAACTGCTGGGTTTTCCCAGTCCCCCAACATGGCAAGCTGGCTCATCTCCTGTGATGCTCTCCCTGCCTCCTGCATGGACACACTGCCTCAGCTTCTTAGCAGCAAGCATGGAAACTTTGAGCCCCTGCCACTGACCAGTCCATAGCTGGGTGATTCTTCCTCCTGACTGATGGCTTCTGCTGCAGATGCTGCTTGGGAGACCTTGAGAGAGGTGTTGAGGCTGCAGGAGCAGCTGAACCTCCTCTTGATGCCCTCTGGCTGGGCACAGGCTGTCAGTATCTCTGGGGAGGAKGGGGATGTAGAGAGATGGTCTGGCAGCTGAGGAATTGGGGCAGAAATGACATCTCAGCAGCTCCTGGAGGAAACCATTTTTCCAGGTGATCAGAGGGCGTAGCAAGTGCAGGGATTCCGAGCCTGCAGTCCCTCCCTCCCAGCTCAGGTCCTGCAGCCCCTCTGCTGAGTCACTCCCAGCTCTCAGGGCTTGTGTTTTTGGTGAGGATGGCAGTGGCAGAGCTCAGAGATGAGTTCAGCATGCTCAGGTGTGTCAGTGCTGGCCCTGCAGCCTCTCCCAGTGCTCTCTGCCTGTCTCAGTGTACAGCACCACTGCCATCCCTCATTCCAGGCCTTGCATAAGAGGATGTCCGGCTTTGGGACGTTTTTGGCACCACACCAGAGCTGTAGAGGGGAGCAGTGCCATGGAAAGTATTGATCCTGTTTGCTTCTGACTGGCTTTGTCACTAAATCCTGATCACAGTCCAGTGAAGACACTGTTTCCAAGCAAGCAGGAGCAGAAACTTGGGTGAAGGGACTGGAGACACTTGTGTCACCATCATCAGCCTTTCCTGACCTCCRGTTTTGTCCTGGACATGCAGAGCAGACTTGCCCAGAGCTGTGGGAGTCTGTGAGCTGAGACTGGGTGAACTGTCCTCCAGCTGTGCAGTCCTGCCCTGAGCCCCTGCTGCCAGAATATGGGGAGGCATTAGAGCCTCCCTGTGGAAAGCAGGGATGTGGATGCATTGAGCCCTGGCTCATCTGGTCTTTCTCTTCTTCTGTGTCCTCCTTGGAAGGAGGACACTTGAAAGGAGCTTGGCTTTTGCTGAGCCCTTGTTACCCCTCTTGTGCTTTGGTGCTGGGATGATGCTCATGAATCCAGCTGGGAGTGGGACCTGGCAGCTCCCTCATGCTGCCCCAAGCTGAGAGCAGTGTTTCCTGCCCAGGTTCTGGCTGCAGTGAAGCTTTCTCCTCTCTCAGTTCTCCCTGTGGTGCTCYCAGCTGCMGAGTCCTGCTGTCCCCCAGGGCRGGWGTGCTCTGGCTAAAAGGGTCCAGTGTGCCAGAGCTTTGTCCCTGCACAGCTCTTGTCCCACAAGGTGACAGAAGTGCTGTGGGATCCCTCCCATGCTTCTCTGGGTTCAGGGCATGGCTAGCAAATCTTTTAGGGCTCTTCAGCTGAGTTGGAGAATTATGTGAGTGCGTGGGTGCTGTGACCTGTGCCAGGCACACTCCTAACACACAGGATGTGGTGCAGTGCCCCTGCAAAGCTTTGCCTTGATAAAGCCCCTGGCTTTGTTCCATGTCCCTGGTGTCCCCCATCTCCCTGATGCTCTTCCCTCTCCATTTTGCAGAGGAGGATGTGGAAAACTTTGACGTGACAAACCTGTCACAGGATGTTCTACGGAGCATYGAAGCTGACAGCTTTTGGTGCATGAGCAAGCTGCTGGATGGGATACAGGTGAGCCCCTGGGGCCATGGGAATTGCTCTGCCCTCGCTGGGGTAGCAGTGTGGTTGTCTCCTCTCCCTGTCTGGGTGAATATCCTCCATGCTCCAGCATTGGGGAGATTTTGCTCCTTCACTGAGCTCAATCTGTTTGTGAAATGCTGGGGAGATGGGTGCTGTGGCTGTCCAGATGGCCCTGTCCTGAGTAGGGAATTCCCAGCAGGCAGACGATCCCAGTGCTCAGGAGTTCTGTCTCCTTGGCTCACGATAATCTCGTCTCCCTGCCCAGCTGCTGACCTGGGTTTGATCATTTCTGTTGTTAAAGCTGCTGCTGCTGACTCAAAGCCTCTCCCCACAGGACAACTACACCTTTGCACAGCCRGGGATCCAGAAAAAAGTCAAAGCCCTGGAGGAGCTGGTCAGCCGGATCGATGGTAGGTGACACAGGGATCTGCTCAGTTTGTCACAATAGAGGGAAACCKCCTTTGTGAGAGCTCCAGGGCAGGGGCAGACACTTCTTACAACACTCATGGAGCCAGGCCAGGGCAGGGTGAGCCAGAAACCTCCTGGTGACAGCACAGGGTGAGGAGTGGAGGAGTCTGGCAGTGTGAAAGCCACTGTGAGCAGTGTGCAGGAGCTGGGGCACGGTGACCCCCAGGTGTGTAAGTGAAATGTGCTGTTTCAGAGCAGGTACACAATCACTTTAGGAGGTACGAGGTCGAGTACCTGCAGTTTGCCTTTCGCTGGATGAACAATCTGCTCATGAGGGAGCTGCCCCTGCGCTGCACCATCCGYCTCTGGGACACCTACCAGGTATGTAGGCTCCACTGACCACCCTGCTTGGCTGTCACTGTCACCTGTGTCCCTGTCCCCRAGGGGACAGAGGTCTCCTGGCACCAGCTGGGGAGCACAAAGCAGTGTGGGCCCAGGGTGTTTGTAGCCATTGGGTGAGGTTGGCCCTATAGGACACTTGAGTTTGGGGAAGTCATTGTCCAGCTGAGCTGCAGGAGTTGACCCAGGGTTCTGCTGTCCACAGTCGGAGCCAGAAGGATTCTCCCATTTCCATCTGTACGTCTGCGCTGCCTTCTTGATCAAGTGGCGGAAGGAGATCCTGGATGAGGAAGATTTCCAAGTAAGAGCCTGAGGGTGGGGGTGATTCCCTGGGTGTGGATGGGAGGGAACTGCTTTGGGAGCCCCGTGTGGACACAGAGAGCTGTGATCTCCTAACAGAGTTGGCTCCAAAATCAGCTGGTCTCAGGAGCTTTGCCTGAAAGTAACTTTTGATCCTCAGTGGTAAGGACAGAGAATTGAGCTGTTGGAGGGTTCAAACATGACATTCCAGCTCTGATCACAGTGTTTGATCCTTGTCCAGCTGTAACCCTGAAACAGCACCCTTTACTTCAGGGGGTTTACAGGTGTTTCACTGGTTCAGATCTAGACACGAGCACATCCTGATGCAGTCTCTGAGCCTTTCAGAGCTGCTGGTGGTGAGCAGAAGTTCCTGAGCACTGCTGCCACTGCTGCCACTGGTCAGGCAGCCCCCAGCCTGCTCTGGGTCCGTGCTCTGCCTTCAGCCTCTCCAAACCAAGCATCTTCCTCTTCTTCAGGGCCTCCTGATGTTGCTACAAAACCTGCCCACGATACACTGGGGTAATGAAGAGATTGGGCTGCTGCTGGCTGAAGCCTACAGACTCAAGTACATGTTTGCAGATGCCCCAAACCATTATCGCCGATAGGTGCCCGGACTGGCTCCTCTCTCCCGTGCCCGCCCCTCGTCCTGGCCCGATCTGATCACTGTGGCATTTTTGTCATCCCAAGTCCTCGGACACTCCAGCCAGGAGCTGCTCCTCRCTGTACAAAGCTCACCTGGACTCTTGTCTTAACTCTGAACGTGTGCCTGTCTGCCACTCCATGCGCCTGGATGTGCCATTTTGACAACTCTCAGTATTTCACTCCATGCTGGTGGCTCACGCCAGGAAGGGAGGCTTCGAGGGGCTGAGGAAGAACACGGGGGAAGCTTTACAGATAAACTGAGCCAGAGACGAAGCCCTYCTGTCCACTCCACTCCCTGTGCTGGGCTTGTCTGGCTGGGACCACTTCGGCTTCGCTGCCCCCCTGCACCACGTGCGCTGCCCCATCTGCTCCCTCCTCTCTCCTGACACTGTTTGCGCCAACTCCCAGATGAAAATGCCTTATCAGAGACCTGCCTGGCCGCAGAATCCTTCCCCGCGAGGGTGGCAGGGCAAGAAGTTTCTCTCAGGGCCTACCTTCGCTCCGAGGGTCCAGAGACCCCCCAAGCACTTTGTGGGTTCACAAGAGAGTTCCTCGTGCCTGCCCTCCCTCCTTCTCTCCATCCTCTTTGCCTACCTCTCCCCCAGGGCAGCGGGGCAGGCACAACGGGGGCCACGACCACTCCATCCACACACACACGGAATGATGCGTGCCAGCTTGGTGGAACTTTTGGTGACTGATGTTCTGTGAGTACAGCCCCATCCAGCGTGTGGGGAAGGCACGGAGGGGGTGCTGGTAGGGGAGCAACATCTCCCAAAAACCTCCTTACAAAGTCCCCCCTCCTCYGAGGCGTTCTGTGTATATTGTGTTCTTGTGTATATGGGTCAAAGATGTACAATATATGTCTTCTCTTTGTAGCAGATTTTATATTTATAACACGAACCCCTTGTCCCCATCCTCTCCACGCCTGAGAA